CCATCCTTCATAGCGCACTAAACTTTTTTTTTTTTAAAACCAGACAAGGATTTCTGTTGTGCCTGAGCACTAACAGAAGTCACCCCACAGAACTCTCTGTTGCAGTTATTAAAAGGACTTAGATGGACTAAGTGTCTAAGATGCAAATGAAGATCACTGGCGACATTTTGATTATCAACCGCTAATGTAACAGTGTAGAGAACTAATCCCATTCTGAGCTTCCATCCATAAACAGGAACATAATTTTGAAAAGCAGAATAAATCATCTGACAGAAAATGATGCTGGTTATGAACCCATACGGTTAATTTTAAACAAATGTCTGTGGATATATATTTGAAGTTTCACGTACGTATGACTTAAATTAAACATTTTTATTAAACTTTTTATCATACTTCTGAGTCTGAAAAAATGGCTTTTTATAAATCTTTCTGTGAACCATTTCACTTCAAGGTATTTTCAAATGGAAGATAGAATGGGGATTTCTCTAAAGCAATATTAAAATAATGCCATTTATTAGGTTAATTTGATTAGGAGAAAAACAAGTAAGAAAATCATTGTCACCTACTGAAAATGTCAGATTATATACCATAAAAGCTAAGAGAAGAAACAAAACAGGTTGCTTTTCAAAGAATACTTAATTCCTTGATTAAACAAAATCTTTTTCTATAGAAAGCTCCACTTAGCTTAAAAACTGTGTTAAACTGCAGCTCTGGATACCCACATATTTACCAGAAGCAAAAGCCTTATCTGCATTAGGGTTTTATATATCTGTGTAGTCACAGTCTTGCAACTGCTCTAGTAAAAAGCACAAGAGCCTTGGTTTAAGGCACTGCAGTAGATTAAACTCTGATGTCAGATATTACAGTGGGGGCTGAAAACTTTAAAAAAAAGATAAGGCTAGAATGAGGTTTTTAAAAAAATAAAACCATACTGAACCTTCTTTTGCAATTTTAAGCCATTAACTGCTAACTAATTATTGTGAGGTGTCACACAATGAGGAGGAAAGCTGACAATCTCTTCTTGTTGATTGGGATTTGCAGGTTCAGTCGGAGTGTCTTTTCAGGTATGGCCAAAATCAGGTACAAATCTCTGAGGGAGGTACAGTTTAGCTAAAGAAAAGAAATACCAATGTCAAACTGCTTAAGCAGGCCTCTTGTTTTGAATACTGGTACTGGAGCCAAAACATTGTCTGTATGTCATTTCTAAATTCTACCCACTTGATTTCTTTCTTTCATGGAGAAACAAGAAGTTGAAAAACAGGAAAGTTCACTTTGGGTACAAGGCTTATTTTCCACTTAAGCCTACAGGTCACAAATGAAGGGTTAAGTGAAACCAGGCTTTGTTTTTCTCAATCTCTAAAATATATTAAACCACATTAAAATAGCTTATAATTTAAAGGAAAATTCTTTTAAAGCCTCTGAATATAAATGCTTTCATGGAGAATGGAAATCTACGTAAAGACCACAGTATTCTAGTGCCAATACTGAAACGTATTGCCACTTGCTCCAAGACACTAAAGGGCTCCAACTTCTTCCAAATTCTAAAACTTAATCAGTTGACATCTGTCTCAAAACATAAATTTTGAGGTGTTAGAAGCTCTAATGTCAATTAAAGTAACTGATAACTTGATATTTGATCAATAGATCTCTCCCTGTACATTTTTAAAAAAAATTACAAAAGCAAATGGAAATGTTTTGATTTTTTTTTTTCTTATCTTCTGGAAGTACTAATAATATTCCTATACTGGTTTCATACATTTCTATGCAATTCACAAAATTCAAACCACCCTTAAATAAAAATGTAGCTGTTTATACCATGACTGTGCAAAATGAAAAACAAGGATATTATTTTGTTCCAACAAAGCTGAAGGACAAAAGCAGGGAGAAAGCAGAGCACAATAGCAGCAAAAGGAGAGCAGGTGATAAAAACAGATGAGAAAGTAAGAATATACAGAAAAGGGTGTCACAAGCAAGAAGTTATGAGGAATGAGGTAGAGAATAAGGAAAAGAAAACCAATCCCTTCAGCAGCAGAGTTCCTCATCATTCACAGTCATTCACCATGAAACTCACTCAGGCATTATGAAAAGAGCTGCATACCAAGTTGCCAAATCCCCTACTATTTAATTAGGATATTTTTGTTTGTTTGAAGATCCAGCTTTTGTACTTTAATGATTATGTGAGCAGCTTAGATTTAATTTTCTTAAAGGGTATTTCTAGCCCTCACCACAGTGCAGAAACGTATGACATGTGATGTTAGATCACTGAAAAAACAGAATACAGGTGAAAAGAACAAAAATTCCCCTCAATATTTTTTATTTTTTCGGATCGACTTATGATCTGGATTTCAGATTTTAAAGGCCAGAAATCATTAGGAAGCACTCTTTAAAAAAAATGTGCACCCCCCCATTCCTGCAAATAAACCCTACAATTCTCATATGACAGATACATGTTTTAGCATGTTTGCTCTGCAAATTTGGCACTGTTTTCCTCTAACGTCTATGGAAATTGCTAATTGTTGTCTGAAGCTGTCAATAAGCCAAGAGAAATTGTGATATGTATGAAACTTTAAGAAAACAAAGCAAGAATGGTACACTTTCACGACTGCATCTGAGAGCCAAGGACATGCACATTGCTAAGGGGTATTTATCCACAGCATAAGTGCTAATGCCACGTCCTGAGTTCAGCTGAAACAGAGTTAACTTTCTTCATCTCCCTTAGCATCAACGGTCCATTGTCATTTAGCAATGCAAAAGTATTCTGCCATGTGCCACGCATCCAGAGCCAGCCGGATAAAAGCTACAGATCTGGTAAACAGTGCCGACAGTGATGGAGCAGCAATCAGCAGTCTCCCACCCCCTTGCAGCATACATATCTATATCTCTTTGCAGATGAACACTAGCCACTTTTCTCAGTCTCAAGCATCCAGCAAGAAAGGTGTTTATGTTCAGGCCCCAAGTAATGAAACCACTATAGCAAACTAATAACAAATGGAAAAAATATGCAATGCATATTTTATATGCAATGACTAATTAGGGTTTTCCAGCCCTGCTCTGCTGCCCAAAAGCAAATGGTGAAATTCTGTTGGCATGGCATGCTTTTGTGAGCACTGGGATTTGTTCTCATCCTGAGCTGAACTAAACTGTCACAGATTTGGCAATTTTGGGGTGCTGTGCAAAAGCTGTTTTTGAAGGGAGTTTGTCATATCTTCACGGAAGGCTGAGAAATGGAAAACAACTTTTTGTATATGTTTAGCACTCTATAATGCTACTGTCCATATGTATCCATACAATAGTTGTTGAAGCATTTAAAGTTCTAGTGTCTTTTTATTACCTAAATAGAAATTATTAAAACTCAAGAAACCAAGGCTGCTGAATTAACTTGCTTTTCTTAGACATAATGAAAAAAAACCTAATTATATTCCTCAAACAGGTAAGCTGCTGCTACAGCAAACACTTCTGAAAATACACCGCACCTGATCAAGCAAGAAAGGTTGCAAGTGAGTACCCAGGCATAGGCTGAATCGGTAGTAGCTTTGGCCTTCACTCAGCTGGGTGTAGGGTAAAACCTTATAGTGATAAATATAAGCTTTACAAGAAGACAGTGATTACATGAACCCAGACAAAACTATCTGGTTGGGTTTTATATGAAGAATTTTTTAAGGTTCCCAAAAAGTCACATTCTAGTTATACCTCACATAAAGTGAATGTGAAATGGCACAATAGATTTGAGCACAAGCCGAGACATTCACTTTCAAATACAATCCCGGAAAAACAGAGTTGGATCTCACAAGGGCATTCCATTCATAAACTGTTCTTATTCACCTGAGACTGTGTTTCTCTTCTGAGAATTATCAAGGAAACCCACAGTCTGTACACATATTCATCAGTTCGGTTATGATTTATAGACTGTGCATAACAGAACGATTTGATTCATAAGCAGACTTTCAAAATATCAGTCAACAGGTAGATTAAAAAAAAGTTAAGGTAAAAAAATTTAGACTAATCTGTCTGTGTCCAAAAGTATTCTTCCTCTTGCCTTCTCAACACAGAGCACAGTCTACTGCCAGTTACTCAGAACTAAAATGTTATTTTAGCAATCATTCCTGGAAGTTTTTAACTCTCTGAGGGAAGGTAAACCTTTGCAAATTTTGATGATATCAACAGGTTTCAGACATTTTTGTACCTACAAACCAAACCTCAAGTGGTCAAAGTATTACTCCCAAAACTATGAAATTATTTACTGAATATAAGAGCTGAATAAGTGCAAAGAATGGACATGTGAAACAGCTTTACTCCTTGATTTTTTATGTTTTGAAACACCAGTACCAGTTGGCCTCTGGGAAATCAACTAATGTTCCGGTCTTCCTTGTGTATCAACCATAAAACAGCAAATATTACTGAATATTTCCATCAGTTTCTTGACACTTACCCTTCCATATCTGTTAGCATAGGACCCTGTAAGCAAGGAATGGAAAATGATGATTGTCTCATCCAAATCCCAAATGAATACTCTCTGTAAAAAGAGAATCAAATCAATGTGTTCCTCTGTGAAGCTGATACTTGAAATGGAAAGTTAAAATTTGAATCAGTAAGTGCACAAACAAGAAAATTGTATTGAAATGGTTATATATTAAAACCATAGTTTTCTTGCCATCTATCTTCAGAACTAACAAGCTTTTTCTAGAGTAGAGTAATACAATCTGTTAGCTTTTTACTACAATTCCTATTATATCAAATCATTCTATTATAATAAAATTAGTTATTGTCAAATACACAGAGAAAATAAGATGTATCATGTATTAGTTTAAAACCAGATGTGAGACAGAAACCGAAATAAATGAAGAAAAGCCTCTGAAAATTAAATCTAGGTTTGAATTCTGTATTTCTGCAAGTCTTACAAAACAAAGTTCATGTAACTGCTCTTGAAAATGACCTCTAAAACCAAAATAAAGCAAATTGCTGCTAAGCACTTAAATCGCCTTAATCTATGTTAATTTTTAATGGATTTTACGCACCTGAAGAATGAAAATTATGAACTTAGATGTTGCATGTAAGAATTTATGGCATCAGTAAATAAGTATTTTGCTTACAGCCAGTGGAAAATATGTGTATTAAATTGACCACAAACAAAATGGCATTTTAATGAAAAATAAAATGTTCAAACAAAAGTATTTTAAACCCTGGAGAGATTGTATTTCCCATGATGACAAATGGGCTACACTTTCAGAAAGGAAAAGTAATGCAGTGTGGACACTCATAGCTGCAGTGTGTCACTGGAGATGTGTTCTCAACACAAAGCACGGGCCACTGAGGGGAATGTGAACATAGCATCAGAGAACAAAAACCACTATTGTGCTAGAGTGTCTCCTGTCCAAATGCAAGACCTTGTTTCACTTGGGAAAAGCTTGCTTTTTTTCTTTTTTTTTTTAAATCAAAAGGAGAAAGAAACCTCAAATTTTTTTTCAGAGAAAGTAGGTGTTCCTCATGATGAAGTTTCTTTAGAAGAAAAATGGTATCTTCTACAAAAATACTGTCAGAAAAACAAGAAAGGGAGCTCCAATGCCACTTTATTTTTGATGAGTAAATAATACTTCCCTCTGCAAAATAATTGTAAAACTAGAGTCTATAACAGGTCAAAGACATCTAATATAATGTACCTCTAGGTCAGAGTCAGGTGGTGGTGAAGGATTATTGTTTCTTCTGCCACGTCCACGTGATTTCCCATCTGAACTACGACGCAATCTATCTGAATCTGAATCTTTAATGGGTGTTGATGGACTGTGGATTGTACTGTATTCTGCTGTAGTAAAGAAATGACATTTTTATCTGTCAGTTTAAACTTCAAAATGTTCAATGTGCTTGCTTTTTACATGTGACACCAAAACCAGGATGTTCATTGAAGAGTCTTAACTAAAATAACTGAATCTACAATAAGTAGCAATACTGATACACAAAATAATTAAATCAAGTTCAAGCTACAGGTAAAACCAGAGAGGTAAATTATTTCAGTAAGTAAATAAAAAAGGAGTAAGTAAAAAAAAAATCTCCATTCCTTCAAATCATAGAGAAGACCATATCACTTCATAAACAAGATTAAAGTCTAAATGAACAATTTTAAGGGGCACCAGCTTTTTTTTAAAGAACATTAATTTAATTCTTTTTCTTTTGTTTTCAAATATGCTTTAAGATAACCATTGTGCTGACTGGTAAGAACAAAAACATCCAGGTGTGAAAAAAAATAACATACAGAAATTGAAAACTTTTCCAAATTGCCTGGTTGCAGACACTTTACTTTTAGATTGCTACATTTGAGAGAGATGAATAGAAGTCTTTCTAAAGATGGCATAAAATAGAGTCATTATTTTCCCAGAGTAAGTTCAATTAGTAAGTGTTAAATATGCATCAATTATAAAGATGAAATTTATAGTAGTCTTCAAAGGCCTACTAAACACTGAAATTTACCAAGGAATACAAAAGAATGATGAATTATGTACGTAAGAAAAAGAAAGTTTTCCTGAAAGCATGCTAGCTGGAAAATGTTTTGCTATTCTTAACATCCATAGACTCAGTAACAGTGAAGTGCTTGAACATTAACAAAACATAACATCCAGCATAAATCATCCTTCCTAACTCATTTAACTAGAAGTACCACACTCCTCAGAAATGCAACAGCACATTTTAAAAGATCTTTTCAATATTTCCTTTCACGGTCTTAAGTTCACAGAGAAAAGACTTTTACTTTGACAGTTATTGTTAGGTTTTTTTCCCTAAAAAAAAATCAATTTATGTATAGGCAGCTGGAATTTTCAGCGTATGATATATTTATTAATTTCACTTCTGAGTAAACATTAATATTGATAAAAATATCCATATCTATTGAACACTAAAGAGTAGTTAATTTATTTTTTAATCAGCCTAGACCATGGCATTCCAGTTTGAACAAACAGGTATACTTCTCACACAACTGATTCTTTCTCCTAAAAAAACATCCTGTTGAGGTCAAAGGTTAGATTAAGGAGGAGACTCTGGACATCTGTGTAACACCACATATTCAGAATTACTCAAAATAATAATGGTTGCTTGTGTTGAATGAAAAGAAAAGGTCTTGAATTTCTCATGTTCAAATATACACTTAATGGAAAGTAGTATATATTATATATTTCACATTATACATTTCCCTAAGTACCTCAGGCTACATTAAACAAAGCAGAATAACACCTTAAGATGTAACTCAAGGTAAAACAAAAGAATCTTCAAAAAAGACTCAGCCTATACCTAAAGGAGTGATTCTGTGTGTTTGCCAAACAACAAAAATAGCTGAGCCACATCAGTCTGCCTTACTAAAGATAGAGGTTGAAGATCATGTACATTCCAATAATATGCATTTTTTCCTGTAACAACATATGCTTCGGAATATTTAAAGTAATACTTCAAATGTTAATTGCTCTTACACCTACTGTACTAAAACATAAATAAGAAATCATAACTCAACTAATACAAATTTTCCCAGCCTTTTAAACTTACATGAGTTTATCTGCTGTACATCAATTTTTGTTATCAAAATTCTAACAAAAAGAAAAATAAAAGAAAGAAAACAATGCACAACAGGTTTAAAACAAATTATAATCCAGTAAAATAAACAGACTGGAATTTCTTCAACAGGTATATTGGCCAATGATGTTCTAAACATGTGCTCTAAAATTCAGATGTAATGAAAAATTGCATTTCCTATTGTCTAATTGAAATTAGAGTTGCTTTTGGTCTCTGGCAGTTTTTTTAGGACTTTGGCTTTAGATTCCCATCTTTTAAATTCTTCTCAAAGACATGATATGCCTAAAAATTTTAAGGATTAAACTGGGGATAGGAATAACACTAAATAAAATAGGACACAGATAGCATGGAAAAATAAACAAAACTTCATGACAAATAAACCCAAGCAAACCTATAAGAGCAAGCACCCTGAGCAGAGCACGTTGAAGGCGAGGAAGAAAATCTGTTTTTAAGAGCCATGCAGCTTTCGATTTTTGCAAACATCTTAATTTAAGTATACTGCATTTGAAATTTCAAACACAGGGCTGCAAATTTGGGTGGAGGCTCATTTCCATCTCCCTTTCTCAGGTGCAAGTCATCTGTCTGAACAAGCCTGTCCCTGACCTGACAGGAAGACTCCCAACCCTACTTTGGGACCCCAAGGTTGGCTGGGCACACCTTAGCCCACCCTACCTTGGGATCCCAAGGTTGGCTGGGCACACCTTAGCCCACCCTTCCGGGGCCTGCTGTACCTGCATCATTCCCATGAGAGGTTTGTCTGTCTTGCTCTTACCGACTCTCCAGACAATCTACTCTGCTGCTTTAACAGCCGTACCATTAAGAACAAAACATACAAGTCCAGTATTCATTACAGCAATTTACGTTCCATCTATGAAAGCGGGGAAAAAACTCTTCCCTTCATGGTACTTTCATGCAATTGAAGACTTTTCTCAGATCCCCTCTGTTGTTAGGTTAACCCTTCCCTGACAATCCTCTTTATTTAGGCTTTGATTACTGCTCTCAATTTTCTCTCCAAACTGGACACAGTAATCCAAAGTAAAGTTGAGCAAAGCATTACTTCCCATGTGCTGCAGGCTACCCTCCCCTGGATGAGACTTGGCAAGAGACAATTTGCATTTTCTGCACTATTTTTAATAAATGTTAGTTTCAGGATCCCTTGATCATCTTTTGAAGAAGAGGTGGCACCAAACTGGTTGCTTCTGAAAGACCTGGCCAAATATTGTACATGAACTGAATACACAACATTACTAATGCCTGGAGCTTCTGAGCCTACTTAGAAGACCAGTCTGTTATGAACAGTGTGACAGATGGCAGTAACCAATGGGGGGAAATGTGACATAGTGTGTAAAAAACTTATTCCATGTATGTAAAGGGAAACCATAGCATGTACTCTTTGGATTAAGGCTGCTTGACAGGGCAGAGTCCATGTGCACAGCTGGGTTACCAGCTCACTGTCCAATGGTTGCTCTCAGGTCCTCATAAGGAAACCCGATTAAAGAATCCAGTGTCCAGCTGAGCCCTGAGCCTCGACAAGCCCAAGCCCTGACAAATTCTGGAGCAAGAAAAACAACAGCGGCTGAGGGTACTCGGTGTGCCACTAATATTTGGAGTACTCAGAGCGGTCCGCAGGGAAAGGTAGGGCCTGGAAGGATCTGCCAACATTCCCCATCCCACATTTGTGCAGTTCATCATTCCTGCCTAAATGTATACCTCACACCTGCTCCTATTCAGATCACATCGCCATTTTTTGAGTTCTCATCCTGTCTCCAAAGAACTCACAGCCCCTCTCAGCATGGTGTCATCTACATATTTAATAGGCAAACACATTCTGTTCCGTCATCTAAATGATTAATGAAAATGCCAGGCCAAGGCAGACACTGAGGAATGCTGCTGTAGCCATCCTTCTATTTTAACAGCAAGCTCTCACTGACTTCTCTCTGGACATGGTTTCCTAAACAGCTTTATATTATTCTGTTGCAGTTTCATCTACACTGCTTTAGCCTAGTTTGCTTATAAGACTGTTAAGTTAAAACATTCAACTGTCAGGGCAGCAAAAGCCTTGCTGAAGTCAAGCTATATAACCACAAAACACGAATTTGATTTTATCCTGTTCCTGAGGACCACAAACCCAGGGAAGTGCAGGGGAAAACCAAGCCCTCCACAAAAGCATGAGTGGAAAAGGGTGTGAGGATCAGCTTTCTACTGCCTGTACCAATAATAAAGCAAGATTACCAAAGGAAGCTGGCATCAGCCACGTTAAACACAAGAGGGAGGAGTTAAGATCGAAAAATCATAGAATTACAGAACAGTCTGAGATGGAAGGGATCTTTAAAGATCATCTGGTCCAATCCCCCTGCAATAAGCAGGGACAGCTTCAACTAGATCAGGTTGCTCAGAGCCCTGTCCAACCTGACTTTGAACGTTTCCAGGGATGGCGCATCTACCACCTCCCTGGGTAACCTCCTCCAGTGTTTCACCACTCTTATTGTAAGAAAGTTCTTCCTCATATTTAGTCTCAGGAAAAAAAAAAAAAAAAAAAAAAGCTAGGATATTTGCAGTACCTCTTCTCAAAAAGTGCCAGGCTTCCAAAAGATTACAAGAGTTCAAAAGGAGCCTGGAGACATTGTTGGAAGAGAGGATTTCAGGGGTGCTATGACCATATCTGTGCTAGCAGTTTGGGTCTGTGACACCAAACAAGTGGTGGCAATGACCTCAGGCTTTACTGCTTGTTTCTGGGAGGTCATTTAATTGTAGGTTCAGCTTGATTTCATGTCCTGAACATCCTCAACAGGGGTTGGAGGAATTAGGAGCTGACCTGGAGGACACCTTCCAGGTTAGTTTTGTCTGGAAGGACTCCAGCTGGGTGCTCTAGGACTGCTCTGCTGAGCCAAAGCTCTTTGCTTCAAAGCAGACTCCTGCTCCAAATAAAGATGCTAATGTAGGCACATCCTAAACACACAAACAACAGCAGCTTTGGAAATCCTCTGAGATGAAAATATCTGGAAGCTAGAAAAGTGTTTAGACCAAGTCTTACACGAGCTTAGCTTGTCCTCACTGCTGCCGGGGTGTCTGTGATGGCCACTGTGGCAGGTGAGACACAGGGCCAGTTGATCCACTGGCTTAGACCACTAAAGCAACTTCTGTGTGTTGCCTATGCCTTGACAAAATTATAGCAATATTGTAGTAGCAGTTAGTCTTCTGGTCCATCAAGAGACACACATAGTTTCAGATCTCTCTGCTATGGCA